CTGACAACCAACAGACTCTTGACCTTAGCTCGCTGCAAGAGTTTCTGAACAGAAAAAACTATTTCTGTGTTTGTCATCTACAGCCAGCTGTGGTCTACGGCAGCAGAGAGCACGCCAGTACCGGATTAAAGTTGGCTCCTTTGCAGACATTGAAGCTCACCCATGGCAAGCTGCCATCTTTGTGAAGTATCGCCGAGCACCCGGAGAACATTTCCTCTGCGGAGGAATTCTGATCAGTTCCTGCTGGGTTTTGTCAGCTGCTCACTGTTTTGAGGAAGGGTGAGTTGAGGATTTGGTACTTCTTGGGAAATCACGATTAAAAAAAAACAAGTCTGGAAAATTGAAGCATCCAGTATTAGCCTTACTGGAAGAGTGAAAGACTTGAAAAAGACATTTACTCCACTAGGTCATTCTACAGTAATGAATTATAGTTAAATGGGATCAGTATTACAGACAGGCATTTACTGGACAAACTAGCTGTATGGCATTGAGGTACCACAGCAGAATATCAAATAGCTAAAGAACAAAGCTGTCAGCACAGAATGCAGAGCCATCTGAAACTTGCTAACAGCAAGGGACTTACAGAGGAGCTTTGCCATGGTGGCTCTAAGCAATTAGTGCAAAAACTAAAGCAAACAGGACATCTGAGATCAAACTACCTGACTGATGAAGTAGTAATAATACTAAAATAAGAGATGCTCCAACAGCACATCTTCAAGGTAAGGCTCTCTACTCCAGTTAACAATGGAAGAAAGTAAATACGCTTTCATTTTTAAAGTTTTAGTACCAATCAGCTGAAGATTGTGCTGGGCAGGACTTCTCGAGCAACTCCAGAGGAGAAGGAACAAATGTTTCAGGTGAAGAACTACATTGTACACGAGAGATATGACTCAGAGAATTACAACAATGACATTGGTAAGGATTTCTTTTTGATGGGTTGTGGTTTGCTAAAGCTTGATGTTAGACAAGTGGTGATTCTTGTTTTTTTTCCCCACTGTTCAGCTTTGCTGCAGTTGAACTCAGACACAGAAAACTGTGCTATTGAAACAGATAATGTTCGAGCAGCCTGCCTCCCAACACCAGACCTGCAGCTGCCTGATTGGACTGAATGTGAGATCTCTGGTTATGGTAGAAATGAAGAATGTAAGTAGAAGATGCACTGTGGCCAAATCTATGTCCTCTGCCCCAAAGAATTCAAGCTTTTAGCACTGTTTAATCTGTGACTGAATTATTTAATGGAATTATTTTAGCACTCCAAAACATACCTGTATGTGGAACTTACATAAAAACAAGTTCTGGTTTATTTCATTCACCTGAAATCGGTCAGTTGTCTGGGTTAGCAGAGTTTTCCTTGAAACTCTCAAACAGTAGGAACACAGAAAATGGCATGATGAATAAGATAGAGTTTGTCAGTCAAGGCTCCCTCATTTCTGCTATACTATTTATTGTATTTAAATATTAGCTTAGAAATTGTCATTCTCACAGAAATCCATTTCTGTCAAGATTTAATATACCATGCAGTTGTGGGTAGTTGCATTAATCAAAAACATACACAGTGACTGTACAGCTATTAGCAAAAAAAAAAAGCTAGGTATGTAAAAGTCCTGGATATATATTAAAAGGTCAGCCAAATTAATCAGAATAGTTCAATTTGGCAGTATCTACAAAGGTCATGAAGTCCAACTGCCTGCCTGCTTCAGGACTAACCAGAAGTTAAATTACAGTATTCTGATTATGCTCTCAATACCTTCTGAACACTGACAGGCATGCAGTATCAACCCTCTCAGCAGAAATGGTTTTAAAACAGAGCTACTTTAAAAACCAGAGCCAAGAAAAAGCCTGGAATAAAATCTGTCTGGAAGTACATATAGACTAACCTGTATTTCAAAAAAGAAGAAAAAGCAGCTCTAACCTTACTGGCATTTACTTCTATTATCTTTAAATTGTAAATGCTGAGGTAGAGACTGTGAAGCATCCATCATAACAAGGGCAAATAATGATTTGAGCTATTAAGGCTTTTGGAACAGACTTAAGATAGAACTTTAACAGACAAGCGTATCACAGAATGTTCTAGAAGAGCTAAAGCTAGTCCTTAGCTTTTTCCATAGAGAGTATAGTTACCTCCTTCAGAGCAAAAGGGCAGTGCAATTATAATTCAAAACCAAACTGAAAAACTGTCCTGCCAATTTTCAGCTTCGTGCAGTTGCAACTGTGCAGAAGAACAAAATCAACATGCAAGGCAGAAATAAATCAATTCCATTCCAAGATAACATGAGTGTGCATTCCTATCTAGTTATTCAGTATTTTGTACAACAAGACATCTGTTTTTAACTAACCCAAATCTAATACAGGATCCCTTTTCATACACATAGTGATTATTAGATGCACTTCATTTAGATTGATGTCACTCATGCAAAGACAACCCCCAAACAGACCTAGCAATTTGCACCCTGTAAAAATCTCTAACTTCTAAGCTTGCTGAAGCAGCAAAATTGTCTTTGAACTGTATTTAAATTGTTCTCACTGGCAAAGCAGAACCCCCATAATTAAAAAAAAGACTCCTGGCAAGGAAATATTAGTTTTACCACTCTCCTCTTTTGCCACTAGTTAATGTACTCTCTCCCAAACTGCAGAAACTGAACTGCGAAGTTATATATATATAATTTTTTTTCTTATATTCATATATATTCACATCTCTTTCAGTTTCTCCCTTTTATTCAGAGCACCTGAAGGAAGGCCACGTCAGACTATTTCCAGCCAGTCGGTGCACCACAAAGCATCTACACAACAGGACAGTTACAGACAATATGTTATGTGCAGGAGACACAAGGCACCTTGATGATGCTTGTAAGGTAAAGCCAGTTTTATTCCTCTTTTTTTTTCTTTTTTTTTCCCCTAGGTCTATTCTTCATAATTAACTAAACAGAAATTTTCATGAAAATCATTTATAGAAGTCCTGCATCTGACTACATGGAAATTCTAGAGAACGTTTGTTTAACAGCACTTATCTGTTGGGTTTTCTTTTTTAATTCCCTGTCCATCTTTTCCTCATAATTAGGAAATCAAGCTACATTCAGTCAAGCAAACCAGAATACACACTGAAATTCTAAATACAGGAAATTCCACAACACTGAAAAGGAAACCCCACCTCAGCAGTTTCCTATTATTTTCTATTCTGTGAGCAAGCATACCTAAATAAAAATCAGCACCTTTTCAGTTTCACTATCTCTTCAATAATCACACTTTACTCACAATAGCATAAAGCAGCTTGGACCTTTAGAGTTTGAACAAAACTATTTCTTGTCTCATTCTTAACAAAAATGCCTCACGTTTCATAAATGTGTTCTATACAAGGGTAGGCACCTTAGTTTTAGACTGTTTGGGGTCTTTCCTCTGCTATGAGAGGAGCACTAAAGAATTCTGTCTGAAACACAGAAGGCACTTATTCACATAAGTGCTGTTACTGGGAGCACTGGAAGCATGGTGTCCCTCATTTGTCAGTAATGCTGCACAGAGTATTTAAGGAGACATGAGAGTGGCATGTAGCCACTGAATAGGGAAACAATACAAAACATACACACACACACGAAAAAGGAGGTTCTTACTAACCTGGTACTTTTCTGCAACTTTTCTGCAGGGTGACTCTGGAGGGCCTTTGGTCTGCATGAAGGATAATCGCATGCATGTAATAGGAATCATCAGCTGGGGAATTGGCTGCGGCCGCAAAGACATACCTGGTGTTTATACAAATGTGAACCGTTATCTTAACTGGATTCAGAACAACATGAAATCCTGAGGAAGAAAGTAACCATCCATAATCCCACGAGCGTGCCCTTACAACTTGCTTTGAGGTGTTTTAAGGATATTGACAGAACATCCTACCTGTCCAGATGCTTATGACTTTCAGTATAAGAGGAAGACATACTACTGTGTGTGGTACGGGCAGTTTCTCAGAGTATTCCACTTCTCTCACTGCAGGTTATCACAGCTCTTGCTCTTTCCCCTTGCATCTCTAAGTTTTCTCCTTCCATCAGATCACACAGGTAGAACTAAAACTAAATTTTGGCTTGCAAAATGTGAGCTATGTCATTTTGGGAACAGGGGTGAACTTAAGGCAAATGAGACCAATTTCATTTCCTGATACTTTCATCTCCCTCTTTAGATCACCAAGATTCAAGAGACACACAGACACGTGTCTTCTCTAACATGGCCCTAGGGCATACCTAAACAATCTCTTTTATGAAATATGTTCATCATTCAAATTTATTCCCACAAACCCCTTCCTCTCCCCTCCTCTTTAGAAGAATATTCTTTTCTAGCTTTTAAGCCACAAGACAAATATCTCCCTATGAACAATTGGCCAGATGAGAAAGTCTCACAAACTCATATGAAAAACCATCATTAAAAAAAAGAAGTGCAATGGAAATACACATACTTTCTTGCTCAAAATACAACTGCCTGTAGCAAGGTGAATCAAAGAAGGGTTGAGCTTGAGCCTTTACTCTATATAAACTTTTTCTAGCTTGGGTTATCCCCATTTGGGTCTCACATAGCAAAAATAACACACTGTGCAATGTCCACTTCAAAATAACACACTGCTGTAACACTTGTGTGTGTGGGGAGAAGAGGGGAGAATAAGTCTTTCAATGTACTTTTCTTTACAATTCCAAAGGTGTGCTTTTTTGGTTTTGTTGTTGTTGAAATACCATACAGGTATTTTAAGTTATTCTGTACTTGTCTGGCTTAACAGTAAAATTTCCACCACTGTAAGAACAACCAACAGATCTAAACTTGTCCAGCAAAACAATAATCCACACTTAGCTCCACTGAATTTACAACTGCACTCTTTGTAACACAGTATTAACAATGAATTTGTAAATAAAAATGCTAATTCTTATTTGGATGCATGTTAGAATAATTCTAGTTAGGATTAAGCTCTGTCCTTATGATGTTTTACTCTGGTTATTTAAGTTGGTTTCCAACTCCAATAGAAATAACAAATGTTTAGGCATGTGCTGCTTACTTCCTTATCAATGTACCACTTGCTTTTTCAGTTTGGAACAAATTTATTAGCAGAGACTAAGCTTAAGTTATCTGAGCAAAACCAGAATGGCTTGTTAGGACACTCTGTTCTTGCTGTTGCTTTTCCTCCCTACAGGAGCCAAATATATAAACAAATAAATAATAGGTAAAAATCATAACACAGCCTTACCTGCCACAGAATCAACACTCACTTTTTGAGTGCTGACTGTCCATGCATTACCATCAGTTACAAAAGCAGAAGGATAAGTCTAACTGTAGCCTCTTCAAGTGCTTGCTAGACATACATCTATCTAAAAGTAAAGATCATATCACACAAAGGCTGCATTTATCCTTTAACAGAAAACAGGATGAGTTTAACAGTGACATCACAAAACAGAATCTTGATAACTAACACTAAGCAAACATTACTTGCACTCCAATTGCCATGCAATACATTGCAATGCAATGCTAAGTGGTGTCTATGTACTTCCTAACAGTTGAAATTCTTTAACAGATGCCTTCTAAAACTTCAACTGTGTATCTTGTAAAGCCCACACAAACCACTCTGAAATGACATGGGTGAGAAGTAAAAATTAACTTTATTTATGCTTTTGTTGAAGTTTATGTTTGCAATGAACATGCTCCCCATTTGAGGTCAACTGCTGTGGCATTCATCAGTTGCACTTGAAAATGCAATTCCAAAAGCAAAATGCCACTCATCCACTGCTACTTTCCATCACAGGAAAAACAGAGAGCACATTATCCTTTATTTAGGGCCATGCTGTTCTGTTCACAAGCATGGACTACGCATGCTGGATCAGACAGCCACCTGATAAATGCTGTAATCACAAGTACAGCGGTTTATGAACCAGTTCTGTCATCAAGAAATTAACACATTGGCATCTAGTGGCCAAAGAGCACACTACAAACAATACAGAACTGTTCACATGCCTCTCATTTCATATTTAAGCTTTACAGAGATGCAGCACAGACTGGGATGGGCATATGTAGCAACAACTCTTGCAGAAGAGATAGTCTCAGTGAGAAATCAGGCTTGAATCCACCAATTATCACAGCAGCTAATTGAGACTGGAACTGGAATGAAGTACAGTCAGGAATATTACAATGGTACCAGGACAGAATTATTTGAGATAATGACACCAGTGAGCAGGAAAACAGCAGTATCACCTTCATTTATAATAGGGAGGCAGAAAGAAAAAGAGATTCCAACATGCTACAGGATAGTGACCATCATCACTTTGCTGCAGTTTCAATTTAAAAGGGCTTCCATCAGAGTGCTACATCTCCACACAAATTCTTCCCCTGCCTCTGCCCAAACTACCCAAAGAAACTTGGAAAAAATTACCTGTAAATGCGGAGGACATAAGAAGAGAAACAGAACTACATTCAGGTATCACTGCCCATTAGTGACAAGTGCTACAGTCAGTTCTCCACAGGATTTCATATTAAAATCTGAGTGAGTTTCCAGCCTATCCCAAAATCCTTAAGATACTTAGTGACCAAGACAGATTAAGAAATATTAAGGAAAAGAGTTCAATTTTTCTATTTCCTCCCTCTACGTTACTTCCCCCAAACTCATGCTTCTTAAAATCCCATCCTGGTTGAGACAATCTACTTCTCCACTTCTGTCAGCCCCTTCAAAGGACAATAGTCAGCCAATTTCACTGCTGCCAAAAGCTATAGCTCTCCAACCTAACATCCAGTGATGGAGAAGGGCTGATGCCACACCATCACTCTGCAGCTGAACTCTGTGAAAACTGAGCTTCACATCATCTACAAAGGGATAAAACACAGCCAAAATATAAGGAATGGGAGTTGGAAAAACAATCTCTAGAATTTCCTTTAAGACAGAATGATGAAGGTGATACAAACTTGCTGGTCCCAAGGGACCTGAAGTCCTCTCCCATCTGCCAGAGCTGCAAATTCTTCAGGCTCAGGTAAGGATGAGATAGTTTCAGGTCAACTTATTTTCCCTCCTCTCTAGCATCTAAGCACTGGCTATCCTGCTCATGCTACCAAAGGAAAGGGAGTAACCCTAAATAGACAGACCAGGGAGAAGCTGTATCCAGCAGCCAGGGACAGGAGAAACAAGAAAGTGTTTTTCCTCACTCTCATGATCCTCTAGGTTCGGACTTGGAACTTGCCAGCTTTAGTCATGTATTTTATCCCCTTGAAGGGCTTGTACTTCTCCCCATACATGTCCAAGCGATTCACTTTCAGTCCTAAAAACAAATAGAGACAGAATAAGACTGACCGTTGCCACAAATACAGCAGACAGACCTTCTGGATAAAGGAAAAGAAGACCAAACTAGAAAGGCAGACAGCATAGGTAAAGTTTTTATAAGCAGAGAATAAATAAAAAGGGGAAAAAAAAAAAAAAAGGAAGACAAAAAAGCCCTGACAATTATTAATTGTCAGAATTATTCTTACAAACACAACGATATTATGAAATTATTTATGGGGTCATAAGAAATGCAAGAAGATGTAGATAGGCTGTTTCACAGAACAGAGAGAAAAATCCAAAAAATTCATTTAACTGTTGCTTAAGCATACAATTCTGTCAGAATATACTTCAGAAGGCCTGCAGAGCTACATCAGCTGTATGCAGAGTAAGCACTGGCAGAGCAGAAAACATTCAGCTTCTTTATCTGATGGTCACTTACCAGATATAGCCAGCTGCTGAATTTTAAACTGCAGGTTAATAGTGGGGTTTTCATCTGGTTTCGACGTCCCAGCTTGCAGATTCATGCTACCCTTCAGGCTTGGCAGCTTCTGGGGGTTTATCTTCCCCACATCCCACGTGAGCAACTTCAAGTAACAGCAAATATAGCAGTTAAGCAGAAATACCACAATTTAAGCAGTAACACCCTCTAAAGAACTCTGTTGTAATGCCAACTTCTATTGTTTCTCTATGAAAAAAGTTCTTTGTCTCAGTGTAATGCTGTAATGTGATGGAAAGTACACCAATAATAGCAAGATGGCAAAGTCCTAGGCTGCAGCAAATGAGGACAAGCCCAAACGCAGCAGCTGTGGATGCAGAAACAAAGGAAGAAAACTAGCTTACCTTTGGAAGGCCTCAGGCAGGCTGGGATTTCCAGCAAAATACCCTTACCTCCACTGCCAACCCTTAACTGAGGGCTGGAAGCAGTGGATCCTGGCTCTAGCCCGTCCAGTCCCTCAGGTGCATTGCACTGCATGCAGCTGAGCTTCCCTGTGTTGGCCCTGCCTTCCCATCAGTCAGTGTGACTTAGCATTTCCACTACACTCAGTATCTTCCTTTTCATATTGGATATCCACTCCTTGATCAAGTCCAGAGCCCTCCACTTCAGATACAGCAAAGACTTAGGGAGAACAAAGACAGCTGCTCCTATCTTTCCAGTGATGTTTCTCAAAAGCATATCGTGAATAGTATTCCCACTGTTTGTGCCATGAGTTCTACTTCCTATGGGTAAGAGTGACATAATTAATGCAGAATCACCTCCCTTCCATGTGGCTGAAGCAGTATTGCCTGATGCTCTACTATGGATTAACCTTACAGCTTGCAGAAATAAAAAAAAGAGAAAAAAAAAAGAATCCTGGTGCCTGTGTTGGGAGGGAAAATCAAAACCCACTAACACACACAAATCCTCAGCGCTCGCAATGTTGGCAGGCAGTATGAAGTATGATAATCAGATAAGCAGAAATTTATAAACCTTTCACTAGACTCGTGCCTCATTGTACAATACCAATCCTTGACTTCCTGCACACATCAAGAAACCAGAAGTACAATCCATTCTCAGCTATCTGCCATGTGGCTTCAGACAACCTCCTGCGTGCACGTGTTCAAGAAACAGGACTATATTAAGTTCACATCCCAAGAAAAGATACTGCCTTCATGGCATCAACATTCAAAGAAATGAGCATGAGCAGTTCAACTTCGTTTGCTGAAAGGATAAAATTAAACAAACAAACAAAAAATCTAATTTCTCTCACCTTTGTAACTGGATCAAAGATGTGTGTACCCTGAGAGGGTGTGAGGCTCATATTCAAGACACCTTTTGGCATCTGGCTGGTAACCATCACTCCCTCTATAGTCTTCCCCATAGTTTGCTTTGGTCCCACTGTGATTTCAAAGCGTCCCAGTGAGCTGCTGTCACGGAAATTGATGTTGTGTTTAACATATACAGGAATTGCCACAAGACTGGAATAAAAAGAAGAACAGAGTCCTTGTTAACTTTTCGCCTTCATTTTTGGTTTTCACTGTTCCCAATTAAAAAAATACAAGGAAGGACTGGATGAAATGTGATCTTAAAGGAGAAGGACATCCTAGTCTTATTAATCCAAGAGCAAATCCAGAATGCTGTCCTGAAGCCTGAATTACTTTTTCTTTTTTAAACCAAATTTTCCACATCTTAGTTTTCTACTTCCTCCAAGACAAGTGAAGACATCCAGTGTAATGGAAGAAACAAGCAGTAGACAGCAGAATCTTCTCACATACCATCATCAAACTAGTAAGCAGTTCCAAACAGCGCAGCAGCACTTCAACTGTCTGCTTTCAAATTGTTTTTTTCCCCTGCTCCTTTTCACTGACTTAAGTCTGATAAGATTTAACAAAATGCTTTAGCATCTGTAACCTCAATTATTGTCAGCCTGCTTTCAGAATTCCTAGTTCTATTAAGAAAGACATAAGAAAGAAAAAAAAATATATGAGGATTATCAGACTATTTTGTTTTATCTTAAAGTTTTTTATAAATACAGATAATTATCAGCCTGTTTACTCAATACTGTCTAATTCATTCTCACTCTAGTTTGTTCACCTACTTGCTTTTGAAAAAACGCAGGCTGACAAAAAATCACTGCTCCAAACAATGAGACACCACATTTTAAAAAAGCACAAGTTACCACGTGCTCCTACTTCACTTGGCACAACAAGCCACCTCATCTTTAAAAGCAAATTTATTCTTATTGTTCCCCCAGCCCTTCCTTCTTTCTAGTCAGGAAGATCCAAATTCTACAGTTTGCAGCTCTAAAGTCAACACTTACTTCTGAGCACTGACGTGGTAAGACAGCAAGCGAAAATTTCCATCAGGTGGAATGAAGGAGAGTATCCTCTCTGACTCCCAGCGCTTAAAGCGCACACACGGATGAAAACTGACATCATCCAATAACCGAGGGTTCTGAAATAAAAGAAAGGCTAATGAAGGCAGTACTAGCTGAAGTAACTGCTTGAATTCTTCCTTGCAATTTTCTGTCTGTGAAGGGCCTACCGTTTGACACTGTCCCCATCTGAACATATCTACATTGAGGCATGTTAAGTTAGCTGATGCTTTTACATCTGTGCATAGCTGTACTCAATATTCTTAGTCCTATTCAGACTGGATATCAGGGGAAATCCCTTTACTGTGGTCAAACACTGGAAGTGGCTTCTTAGAAAGGCTGTTGATGCCCTGTGCCTGCTAGCATCTGAGATGCACTTGGATAACACCCTCAGGAATATGCTTTAACTTTTGCTTAGCCCTAAAGGCTAAACTAAACTATTCTATCTTAGCAAATTCAGTCACCTCAAATAATTACAGTGATGCACATTCATAAAAAGACACCTCTTTAGGATATTTGCCTAAACACCAAATCTCAGAAACTTAGCCAGAGAACACATGAGCAGTAGTTTTAATAAAGAACCTGAAAATAAAACCTTTAGGCTCAAAGTTGTTGAAGTTCATTGTGAGTTTCCATTGTCAATTATTTTTCTTTGGTATACATAAGTTCTGACGTACTGGAAACCATCACTGTAAACCAGAGATCTTAGTGGCATGGCTGAGAAACTCTTCAAAATATTTAAGTAGAGATACATCCTGGAGCTTTACCATAAAGGAAAGGGTAAGATCTGGCATCCCAGTCAGCTTGACACAAGCATCAATTACTCCTTGGATTTCAGCAGTAATCGTAGAACCTACAACAATAAAAGCAAACACAGGAGGTTATATGAACCTTATTAAAAGCCATCACAACATGAAAAAATTATTAATGAGGAAGAAGTGTTATAAAGTGTCACCACAGATTACACTGCCTGTTCAACATATTTCTCACTTCCAAACACTTCTAAAGATGTATACAAACAAGAAACACTGACATCCATAAGGCCCATCTGAATGGGCAACAGCAGTAGCTCCCAACTCTGGTAAGACTAAGATATATTAAAACTAAGGAGACAGTCCTGCACAGAATTTCTAGTCACCTTCTATTTTCCCTGTACAGAATTGTTTACAAGACCTCATGAACAGTCAGAGGAGAAGAACAAGTGAAAATTCTGATACTTCTCTAAAATTTTTGACTGAATGGCACCTACAACTTTGCAACATTTCAAAGTAAGAAGAGGAACAAAACCACACGTACATGAAGGAGCACCTCTTTGGAAAACAAAAATTACTAGAACAAGTTACCCTGGTCTTAGCAAAAAGCCACTTCCATACCTGATTTGTCAATTATTGCATCTATCTCTTCAATCACATCAAAATATGCCTCATTGTTGGTGTATTTCACACCAGTACGTCTCCAAGGCACCACTGATAGCTGTCCAGTAGGAAGCTGGTCGCCCACATTAGTGCTTCCTGGAAGAAGAATAGTAATCACATCAATCACAGAACATAGTCAATGCTCCAGAACAAGTTCCTGGCCTCACCTAACTAGATTGCAATTAATTTCCAAGAAACCTCTGTCTCTTTGTGGGAGAGCAATTATTCATTGTTTGTATTCTACAATTAGCATCTCCACATCCACAAGCACTAACATGAGACTCCCAAAAATCTGTGCTATGGTTTAGAAGGGTATGGAACAACATATACTTTCTTCACCTATGTCCAGTTTGACTTATGTAGAAATACTGCCACAAAGTCACACCAGTTTATCTACTTTTGGTTTTGTTGTACCTGTGATGGTGTTGACTACTGTTCGCAGGATAGTTGGAGGCTTTATCAGTTCTTTAAGAATATTAGATTCTGTTGCCAATGGAAAGCCATTGTCCAGCATCTCTTCCAGCACTTCATAAACCACCACAACGTTGTCCTTGATCATCACCTCTGAACAGACGCCAAAGTAATCCTGTGCAAAAGAAATAATTACTTAATTTCTAGAGGAGAATATGAGTGACCATTCAGTTCATTTTCTCCCACAGATAAATCAATCAAGCTTCTCCTTGCAGCAGGTGAAACAGCACTGATACTCCACATATTAACAGAAGCACATCATACTGAACACTCCAACGAGCAAGCACAACTCTAAGCATACCTCCAGCTTTGCCCCAGAAAGCTGGCAAATCACTGCATTGCTGTATACATCTATTTCCTTTCTATATAATGGGGTTCACTCTAATAGCCAAGAGAGTTCTCAACTGGCATTTGAGAGCAGCTCTAGTGCAACTGGATAAGTAGCAATATTAACTAAAAATAAACAATTTCCTGAAGAATGTTTTGGCTTGAACACGAAACAAAAGATTTCCATATCAATAAAAGTAATTCAGATTTTGACTGTAATAATGCTTTTACTTAGTTACTTCAATACTGATGGCCTTCAAAAAAACAAACAAAAACCACCACACTACAGAACGATGGTTGGGAATCTACCTGCGACAACATTATTTAGAAATTCCAATTAAATTGCTTTTCCACTCAAGCCATACCCAGCCAAATAGCTCAGCACAACATGAGAATCAGCCTCAGGCAACCTAAAGATAACAGGTCTCACCAAAAGAAAGTCAAATCCACACAAACACAATACACACACACACACACAAAACCCCGAAACAACCAAACAAGCTGCTTGGATTTAAGCTCTGGGGATAAACAAAGAGTCAATCACACTCTGAACTTGATGAAACATAATTCAGAGCCTACTGTTGCATTCTGACCAGCATTTGGAAGAAAAGTTCATGTGATGCTCATCTGACCAAGCACTAACATTTCCTGTATTTCAGCAGGATGCTGATCACAAGACAATTCAAACCCAGACTATACAATCCTGCCTGTTACTGGCAGGCAGTAGAGAGATATGTTCTGCATTCTACATCCACCATCGACTCACAGTCGTGTCAGCAGAGAGAAAATGCAGTTGCTCTGAGGCAACTCCTATAACTCACTTCTTTGGCTAGCAAGGTACCCTTCCAAGACACACTGTGCTGTAAACATGCAGGTAGATTGTCAGACTAAGGTACACAAATTGCAGAATTTCCTTTGAGAATTTCTGACACTTGTGAAACCAACTTCAGTTGGGTCTCACAAGCGCAGCCCCTCGAAGATACAAGATTGCAAAACAGAAACGCAGTTCTTGATTGCTGAAAGCTCCTTCCTGTAAGCAAACATTTATCTCGAATCCATCATCAACCTGAGAATTTAATTCCTAGCTACTGCAAGCAGTCAGAATCACAGAATGGGGTTGGAAGGGACCTCAAAGATCATGAATCTCCAACCCCCTGCCACAGGCAGGGCCACCAACCTCCCCATTTAATATTAAAAAAGCGCACACTCTAAATCCTTGCAGGTACAGGATGTGAGTTAAGAGAGAGAAAAAAATAATTGTCACAAACTCAAAAGACTCCCTTTTTTCTCCTCTCTATCACTGTCACCCTTTGCAACAGTGGCAATGTCAGGCTTCTCCTTTCCTAACCTCCCAGCACCCACCAAACACCATTGCGTCCTTCCTCCACGTGAGCCAAACCTGGAAGGTGTCGACGACACGGTGCAGAAACTCAATGACGAAGAGAGGCGGCACCTCCGTCTGGATAACGGCCACAAAGAAGATCTTGTGGCGGTACACGCTGAGCAGGTAGTGATGCGGCGTGGAGATGACCGGCGGTACGTTCTCTGCTTCTGAAGCCCTTTCCTGCGCCTCGAAGAAGTAATCGCAGACAGAGCGGCTGACGACGCTCTTCCAGTGCTTCTCTAGGAAGATGTCCCCCGAGGCGTTAATCAGGAACAGGCTGTGGATCATGACTGCGCCGTCACACGGCAGGAAAGCAACCCACGGGGCGAGCTTTAGCAGCGACAGCTCTAACGGAGCGACCCGAGGCCAGCAGAGCCCGATCAGCCGAGGAGAGGCGCGCTGGTGATGACGCACAGAACGGCACGGCACGGCTTCCATTGGGGGAGCGCCGCACCGCGCCGCAGGGCACGTTCCGCCAGCAGGGGGCGCAGGGCATCACGCTCCGCCAGCACTGAATGACAGAACGGCCAGGGTTGGAACGGACCTCAAGGATCACGAAGCTCCAACCCGCTGCCACACGCAGGGCCACCAACCTCACATTTCAGAGCAGCCCAGGCTGCCCAGGGCCCTATCCAACCTGG